AAAAACACACATCATGGTAAAATCAATACATTCATCGCTCCGCTCAGAATCTAAAATTGTGCGATTGTTTTGAAACTTGCACCATTAAATTACACATGTTCTTAGCTACCACCCCTGTTAGTTTAATGCATAAGGAATAAAAAAACTCTGTCATCAAACACAAATATATAATAATATAACAAAATATTAAATCATAGTGCATCCTACATAATGTAAGCAAATACAGAAAAACTCCAATGTAAGTGGATCTGACCCCCATATCTGACGTCATATTATATAATATACAAGAAAGTAAAAGCGTATAGCCATTTTACTGTATCCTGTATAAGTATGATATACGAAGTATATTTAATATTATGATGGATAATTTACAGTAAATATTTGGTACATAATCTAAGTTAACAGAAAAAAGTTTGCATATAATATTATTATTGTCATTGAGAGTTTGATGAAAYAATATCACATAAATGAATACCTACAATTGTTATTACTACTTAAACCTATTATATTTGTTAATATTTGTTTAAAATATATGATTAGAGCTCGGAATTGTAGGAGTAGCATATTGTTTTCTTATATATTCTAAATGTATAGAAAACTAAACTACACATCAATTTTTTTGAATTATGAGTTTAAAAATTGAAGATTTTAAGTGCATATTTATTAATTTTTTTACAAAAATGTTTTCCRACAAAATATGTGTTTTTATTTTATGACTAAAGTATAATAGGTAGTTAAAAACTTCTCAAATAATAAAAATGTATTTAAYTAATACTTTTTATGTAGGTACCTACCTAACAACCGGAAAAACTGTTTTGGTTCAATAATTATTAATCAACATGGCAAAAGGATAGTTTTCCACACATCAGATATTTCTTTTTCATTTTTATTTATTTAATATATTATACAATGTTTAGTTATATTTATTCAATACAACTTATACAAAAATGTTAGTAAATTATAAATTATGATTCGTTCGTATATTCAACATTACCTTTAAATATATTCTAACTCATCATGAGCCTTATAYAATATGATCTAAGTAACTATCTATATTAATGGCACGTGATATGTGAATTAACTGAAATAATATCACCAGAGGTAGTGCTACACTTAAGTGTTAACTCTAGAACCTCTTTTCTGCATGTACCAATGGATAGTTATTAGTTTCTAAAATATATGAATCGTTCTAAAATTATACTTACGGTAACACTAGAGGGCTGCAGTTCATAGACGCTCCGTACTTGTGTTGTGCGTACTTAGCGTCGTATAACCGGGGATCCTGGCGCATCTTGTGCTCCATCAGAAAATCGGTGGAGTTGCCGTTGCTAGGTGTGGGCACCAACACTAAGTATAAAAACGCATATTAAAAGAATGAAAAGTCAGAAATATCACATAATCAGTGTTTAATATTTATTGTAAGTTTATTGCAGTAACATTTTTCGGAAGTAGAGTCTATAAATCTTATAAAAATGAAAGCTTATGAAACACGTATATGAAATTAGATATTACATATTATTATACACACTTGACATTTTTATTATAAGTATGCAAATGTATAAAACCCTGCAGAATGAAGGTTAYAAACAACTCATATAAGCTACATTCGCTTTATAATTTAATTGMTACTTGTCAGTGTAACATTTTATGAAACTTTAATTATAATATTATATACCTAGTTAGAATGACATGATCACTTTGCGAATAAATTACTGTCACAGTTACAGCCAAATAATAAATTTCTTATATTATAATTGTATAATATAATAAAAGATTCACTGATTTGCAAAATATAGAATTGCGTATTTAATATTTATTCAGTATTTCCACATGTATATATTTTATGAAAATTGAATATCTATACGGTGTTCGAAGCTTCTACCAAACCCCCTCTATCTTGAGAGTGTCACTTTTATAAAAACATATTTAATAATTTTCTTTAAATGTGGGGGGGATGTACGCGTTTATTCTTGTCACTTGTCAAATGTATGTGATAATAAATAATTATAACGAAAATAATACACTTTTTTTTTATTAAGCGGCCACAGCTGTTCTATTCGGTTCGATCTTCGTTGTCACCGCTTACGTTGAATTTGCAACGTTTTGCAGTCGACTAACGGTAATCATTTTTGTAAAAATATCATGATAGCCAATAGGTAAATGTGCACAATTTATTTAAAAAGTAGTAATATTAATAATAATAATAATGTGCATTGTTAAAAATTAGGTATAATAGATATATTAGGTGTATTACAACAATTTGTTAAGATTTATGCAACGAATACGTTGGTATGCCTCTTCACCGGGCCCGTAATATTATATTCATATATAAATGGTAGACACTTTTATAATAAGTTGTCGACACTCACCCGTTGGCGAAACTATAGCGTTCACATAACGACTTTGTTGTTATTGATATCGTATATACTGGTACAAGTACCTCCATAGTATTATAATATAGGTATGCCTGCTACAATAAAATTTACTATAAGTAAGAAAACGAGAATCAGTATAATTAATTACACAATTCGATTTTGTAACAATTTTAGCGATTGGCAATCGATTCTAGGTGTAAATTGTATTATAATTATCGGCGTACAACGGCTAACACGTGAACGAACACGTGTTAGCCGTCGCCACCAGTCCAGTCACCACCAGAACAATATATCGATGGTCCTGTATGTTTAATTATCAGTTCAAGGTCTTCTCAACTTCGAGATGATTAAGAAACTATGATATGTATCATTAAACAGCTACGATTTACATCTGACAATGTGCGCATAATTTTTACGTTTCACGCGTAMGAGAATAAGTCTGAAGTCACGTGACTAACGAACAAACCAAACCGAATTTTGTGGATATATGCACTTCGATAGTGTATATCAGCGGTTCCCAATTGGTGGTCCGCGGACCCCCAGAGGTCCGCGATTATGTTGTTCTGTAGTGATATTTTTATTTTATTTTAGTGAAATTATTAAYTTTGTATAAAATTAAAAATTAAATCATATTGAAAATAAATCGTATAAATTTATTTCTCATTTTCATAATAAAATAAAATTGAAAAGTAAGTATTTACAAGAAAGGGGTCCGCGGACCAATTTAAGTTAYAGCTAGGGGTCCGTGGCTTCACACTAATTGGGAACCGCTGGTGTATATTGTGATATATAAATATATTAATTAGACCTTAAAAAAATAACTCGCAAAACTGTAAAGCAATAATTTACATGTTATATGTTGTCATATTATACCAACCTATCAAAGCGTATTCGTTAACAGTTATGCGTTTCTAGCGTACTCTAATCAAATTTTTTAAAAGTCAATTATTCAGTCAAAACCAGAAACTGAGTTACATAACATATGGTTTAACATTGAAAGTGCGTTTTTGCATAATATTCCACTTAACGACATTCAATGCTATAATATGATTCGATCGTCGGATCGAATTAAATCACACTTGAACACTTGAACACTATCAGCATATTCTGCGAAAGAAACAAGAGTGCGGTCATATAAATACAATTAAGGAAGTGATCAACTTGGGGTATAGTCACRAATTGTATCGGAGTAGTTAAGTAGCCTGTAATTCTGAATTATACACTAGCACAGCGAATCCCATATAATTGTAAGGTTAAAATATAGGTAATAATAATATTATATACCTACTATTAGTTTGTATGATTTTTATTTTATAGTGTGCATCGGCCGTCTGTGTAAAGAGCAGAGTGAGCGGGTTTTAATCGTGAACACTCATATTCTTTCGAAAATTATCTACTTATTAAATGGAAGTAAAATAGGTTTAATTCTAACATTTTAAATTGCCCTAATTGTTTATACTGTGTTGATCCGTGTTTGTTTGTTAGTCCATAGCTCTTAAATTACAGACTATGTTTTTAAATTTCTAGTATAAATAATAACAATACCTAATTTTTTAACAAAGAAATTGGTAGGTATATAAAAAACGTTCAAATATGTTAAAAATATTGCACTTTTTAGTTAAAAAAATATTTATATCATGCCCAGTTGTGCCCTGGAAAATTTGGTCCGTGCCTAAGCAACACTCAACTTATGGACGATTCGAGTGAAGTAAAAGAGTTATCGTCTTATCGATTCCAATTATTATTGTTTATCTACTGCCAAATGTTCTAAATGTTTTTTCAATAAGTTTACTCGGGTAATAACATAAATGCATAATATGTCGCTTATTAAGTTATCGTAAATATATATATGTATTATGTATATACGCTTACTATTATCGTCGTTCCGGATCATCCCGATGGTGCCACCCGTGTATATGACCAACACTTTGGACTCATTCTGGTCGCTATCCTCGTTGGTATTCATCGAATCGCATCGTCTGCGGAACGGCTGGGGTGGCGTGGACCCAATGTATGCTTGCGACGGTGTGGATCCGTGATACGACTGYGAAGATAGATTGTACGGCTCAGGAATATCGTCAGCGTTATCGTTTTCGTTGGACACGCCGATCGTCGCTGCCTGGCTTTTTGCAATATTACCGTTTGGTCGCGATTCTAGTTGTGGTTTTTGATCCATTTCGATGTAAAAAAGTAGGTGTATTAGCTAGGATACACTAAGCAATATTAATAGTGACAGAAATAGAAGTAGTAGTAGCAGTAGCAGTTGCAGTAGGTTATAACGTGTGACCCCGCGTTTATGACCCACGATGGTCTTCGAAGTAGCACCTATAAACGCGAGATTAATATCATAAAATCATCAGCAATATTTTGTTATGAGGTATATAATTTTTTAAAGCATATTAAATATTCAGTGTATAATAGAATATGTAATTGTAATAAGTACCATCTATATTTACCTAAGATATAAACTGGCTCGAAATTAGTTAAAATAGATAATATTAAGATGTTCCATTATGGGGAAATCACTCGTTATTTTTATAGTCAGAATTATAATTTAATAAGTGCATTATTAACTGTATAGTGTTCATTGTCAAAAATAAAATWAAAATAATAATAATTTTTATTATTAAGATCAATAATAGCTGACAGTTATCACCAGTGTTCGATTAAAATATTTAGTAATATTTAGTGTTTCTCGTTTTTTGTGAGTTTTCACGACCGAATTCAAGGGAATGTTTATGAAAAATTATTTAGGCCATCTATTAATATGTACAATGTACGATAAAACTGCGATCTACCGCCGTTGTGCTGCGCGTCACCAGTCAGACGGCCAAAATACGTATAGCCGCACGGTGTAATAGTACCTATGAAGGTAAAAATTGCTACAATTCAATATGTTTCACATAAGTATGGTTTAAACGTTTAAAGGACCAGTAAGTATTTTAAATACTTTAATTTAATATAGGGTTCTATAAAAATAAAAATTCAAGATTGTTMCATTTAAACTAATGTGATTGAATTTCACACGAAAAAAACTTTTATATACTTTTACATAACATGGCAGCAATAATTTTCGTAAATATTAAACAAAATAATTGTACGAGGACTGTTCATATAACATTATTATCTGTGCTATAAATAATATAGTAATTAGTTGTGTCAAATCGGACAACATTGCGTCGAAATATCATGCAAACAGTAATATATGCTAGATGTTAGGAGAGGGACAAAGGGGACAATAGCCCTAGGCGGTAAATTTTTAGGAGTGGTAATTATTTTATGGTGAAACAAAGAAACATTTTTATAGAATAATAATTCAAAATAGTTTTTAAGGAATAATTATTATAATTAGCATTCGAACCGAAGCATATCTATTTTCATTCGTATTATTTTTGAGCAGGTACTTTCTTATAAATTATATTATTTACCAGTATACAATATCCTAATTTCTAATACACAAATCCAAGTAGGATGTATCGTGTTTTTCCGTATTATAACTTTATGGTTGCTGAAATTTATATTTAAAATTTAAAATGCTATATTTGTATATTAGAGTTATTATTAATTAATTTAGTATCTTTTCGTTTATAATATTATATATTATAAATATATAAGTAGCTAATAAAGCTACTAGTAGACGAAAAGTATAAATTATGCCAGAGGTTTATTTTAATACTTAATAAGTTTTTTTTTTAATACAAGTGGGAAGCGTATACAACTAAGTGTGTGTGTTTTTTTTTTAAAGTCAAGGATCAAAGTTGTTTTGTAAAGTGTATTGTGTATGGAATGGTTGCAAGTTCAGAATATTCCTCAACATGGCGGCATTGCATGCGAACGCATAATACAAACAAAGTAAAATAATACTATGCTACCGCTAATTGCTGCGAAAAATATTATACAAATAATAATTACAAAATAAATAATATTATAAATTATAATAGGTAATGCTTACGGATAACGTGTGTGGGTGTGCTTAGATCGAAAAATTACAACGATTTTGTCGAGCCCCGTGGACTAGATGCAAACGAGACGCGAGACAAACCACTCTGCAGATGCAGTTGTTGATGGAGATCTAAGTAGGTATAAAATTATGTTAGATGRATTCGACGACCAAAGAATATGATGACAATATCGCACGCCACCGCTGCTGCTACGCCGGCGGAAAGTGTGCGCGGCTATGATATAGTATACGAGTGCAGTGCGAACACGAACTGCGGCCGCTGACGATTGTTGGCTATGTTGTGCCGATGCTGCCACCGTGCGTTTGAATGCGACGTTTACCTGTTGCGATACAGCGGGTCGCCGCCCAACGGAAAGCCGGCGCTTTTGCTCTTTGCTGATACAATAATATTGGTTCCGTGGGTAATAATATATAAGTGTATAATAATATAGCGATATCCAACAGAGCTTGCACGCGCGCAATCGCAAAAATTAACATAATAATATAATTATAATTAAAATAATTACAGGAATATAAAATTAATGATTAATAAAAGTTATAAAGATAATAATTATTATTTTTGGCATTTTATTGTTGTTCAGTCAACGAATGCCGAGATAGTAATGAGAATTAATGGCAATTAAAAATGATTTTGTTCAGGATCCCCGAATGCGTATAGCAAAGATGGACATTAACTAGATAAAAAGCTAATTTTTTTTTAACGTTTTAATWTAACTAGTTAGTTTATTTTATAATCGACTTATGAAACTAGTTTAATTGATAGTTGAAATATATTGATAGCTTTCCTCACGTGGATAAAAAAATAATCCATCAAGTTAAAATATTTTGAAATTTTTCGTTTATACGTAAATATTAATATAAAATTAAATTAATCCAATACTAAAATAACACAAACGCTATTTTCTTGATAAAATTATTTTGTATATTGATATATTTTATTATGTTTCCATCTTAATCTCCGTACTATATTATGTGCAATATATTTTTACAAATTAAATTAAATTATGTGTAAGTTTATTAAAGAATAATCATTTTTATAATATTTAACAAAATATGCTCTATAAAATCTGTTGGTGATTCTAGGTACAAACAAATTGATTTTTTTGTAAACTGGATAACGAACAACAATTTTTAAACTGTAGAATTTGAATAATTTAACAAATTTGACAATCTTACCTATGAACTTATATTTATAGTACATAGTATTTTAGGCTATAATATTTTATTTAAAAACGTAATTATTACTATTTATCGCATGCGACTCGGATGAATTTTTAATAGGCACACTGAACTATTATTAAAATATTATGTACCTACTATTAAACAGTTAAATGAAATCAGATCTTATTAGAAACACATACAAMGTTATTATTCGTCGTCGTAAGCACTTAAGTAGTTTTAAAAGAGTTTTATTTTTATCTTTACTCTTTAGCTTAAATTTGTTTTAATCGACACTAATGACCTATCTATATCTTTTGTAACATAATTTAGGTACTTAATCAAATATAAACCATTCGTTAAATATTCARGTCATTCGAAACTAAAATTATTGGGCTAGAAGTTGGTACGATTAGCAAGCAGTATATTTTATATAGAAAAAATAAAATATACAGGATGATTTTACAAACATATCCCACCTCTTTTCCTTTAATAATGAATTTATTCAAATCCTGATGTTTGGAATATGTTATTTTATATTTAGACAACATTCTCAAATACTACCTTAGATTTTTATGCAATTTAAGAAATAACGATACCAACTTGTTTCAGATTTGTTGGCATTTTCTAAACTTGAGGGTATAATTTTAAAAAAGTTTTAAATCTTATGGTTGTAATGTTTTAATAATTTTAAAGTTCAATACGAATTTCCACTTACAACAATTTAAAAAATTTAAACACGTAGATACATTGTTTGATAGAAACCTGTTTGAACAAATTTCAAATGTTGACAAATTATATGAGTAATCAAATTAGTAATTACTATACCAAAAATGCCCCAAATATCTTTCTCAAAAATAAAATGGAAAAATAGTTATCATAATT